AAATGGTCAAATATCTACAACAACCAAACTACTCAAGAGATTGATTAGGCCTAATAAATATGATAAAAATCCCATTGGACTTTTTATCCAGTTATCATTCTGACATTCAAACATTTAGCTTCTCATTTTTCCAACTTACCAAAACCTTATGTAGCTATAATGAAATGTATATTTATCATTATATTATTTTGCAATAGACTGTATTAGAGTATTGAAGGATAATTAAAATGTTCATTAGGTTATTCCTGGCTCCCTTTAAGTACATGATCTTAATAACATTCCTTTGAAGAGGATTGAAAATATCACAGACATATTGGTAAATTTCAGCAATAGTATATAGAATATTCACAATATTATCCTGTTTAGAATATAAATAATACATTTAATGAACACGTTTATAAAGTTTTCTATATATTCTTGAAGTTATAGTTTTTTATTCATTGGACGAAGAAACAAATTTTTCCCTTTCTTTTCTAAAATAAATTTATATAAAATTTAGAATAAGCAGAAGTTGTGATGCGATATTGAATGTTTGTTCTCAATCCGATCAAAAATTAATAGCTTATTTTTCTGGAGTCAAAAACGTCACGGTAATATCGTCTGAATAAACGATCTGAGTCAGCTCTGTGAGCTGATTAGAATGAAAACTGTGAAATATAGGTGAATGTTCACTATAAAAAATCATATTTCAAGTTGTTTGGGCCTTATGAAGCTGTGAAACTATAAAAATCTCAATTTGTTTCTTCTCAACGGCTATCTTACATCCGAAAAATAAGGCCGCCACTGGGGTATTAAATATTATTATAAGAACATAAAGTTAAATAAGGTTGAAGTGGCTTAAAGAAATAGGGACCTACTTTTAAAAAAGCTTGTAGGTTAAATAGTCAGATCCACTGTGAGTGATAGCGGTGAGATGATAAATCAAAGAACAGTTAGGCGTTTATTGGCCTAACGTGAGTTCATTATGGTCAACCCAATATGCTAGATTTTACAGATACTTTTAAGTTTAAATTGAACTATATATATATTTCTCTGTCAATAGTCTCTGAACATTAACAATGTAAAATATCTTCCGTGATAATACTAATGAATTACTGTAATAGTGTAAATAGTGTTTAGTCTTAAAGAGGCTATGTCGGTTTCCTTTTAAGTTTTAGTAATATATGCTATCTGCATATAAGTAGCAATTATTAAGTACTACCAATGTCTAACTGGGGCGAGATTACGGTTTAAGGTCATCTCTGATAGCCTTCCCAAGTTTGTACTACCAATGTCTAACTGGGGCGAGATTACGGTTTAAGGTCATCTCTGATAGCCTTCCCAAGTTTGTACTACCAATGTCTAACTGGGGCGAGATTACGGTTTAAGATCATCTGTGATAGCCCTTCCCAAGTTTGTACTACCAATGTCTAACTGGGGCGAGATTACTGTTTAAGATCATCTCTGATAGCCCTTCCCAAGTTTGTACTACCAATGTCTAACTGGGGCGAGATTACGGTTTAAGATCATCTCTGATAGCCCTTCCCAAGTTTCTTATCTTTAGAATTAATTTTTGAGTTTTAAACAGCCGTGTCTTAAATAGATTTGAAAAGTCGGAACATAAAAATCTCGCTAGGGCATACATACACATACAGTTCCCGGGGCAGAATAAAGTCAAACAAAACACTGTTTATAATTTTACGTTATAATAATATTTTTATTTGAAAATAATCGTTTTTCAGTGTTTCCTGTTCCGCTACATTCCTACCTAAGGAGTGAAGATCTAAATCAATTGTGTAACTGCACTTTAAGCGGTTCTGTCTTAAGAAGCTTAGGAAAATGGTAGAAGATCGAGAAGAGAAATATTAACTTGAATTATTATGAACGACATTAGAATCAAATGAGGAACAAATTTCAAAGAAGTTTTATTTAATATACAAATCAAGAGGTAAAGACTATGGATTAAACTTAAATATTTTGTCTAGCTAAAAGCTAATTTAAGGCATTCACGAGGAACTTAATTAGAATCGGCTCTCTTAAGATGTTTGCCTACACCATTTTACCAAGAACTGAGAAGCCTACTCCGAAAATAAGGTATTATAGGCATTAATATAAATTGAATTCTGCTAATCTAGTGAGGTCTTGAAACAGTCATTTCATTTCGACAACTGTAATAGACAAAATAATTTAAACATCGACTTCATAGAAATAAAAACTACAGTACAGTCTGATTTCTACTTATAAAAACTACGGTACAGTCTGATTTCTACTTATAAAAACTATGGTACTGTCTGATTTCTACTTATAAAAACTACGGTACAGTCTGATTTCTACTTATAAAATTTACGGTACAGTCTGATTTGTACTTATAAAAGCTATGGTACTGTCTGATTTCTACTTATTTATATAAAAATAATATATTTCTTTAATATGCTGTCGAAGTCCTAACTTTTTCTTAAGATTATCATTATTTCGTATAAGAGTAGTTAATAACATAGTTTTGTTTGGTGTAACGATAGAAAGAAAGATTGTTTGGTTTCGTGTAAAACTAGCTAATATCGTTGTTTGGTTTGGCGTAGCAGTAGTCAATATTGTTGTTTAGTTTGTTTAACAGAAGAAGATAAGGTTCCTTAGATTGGTTTAACTGTAATTAGTATCGTCGTTTCGTTTGGTGTAACAACAGAGAGAAAGATTGTTTGGTTTCGTGTAAAACTAGCTAATATCATTGTTTGAGTTGGTGTAGCAGTAGACACTATTGTTATATGATTTGGTGTAACAGTAGAGAATAAGGTTGTTTGGTTTGGGTAACAGTAATTTATATCCTTGTTTGTTGCAACAGGTATTTGGTGTAGCAATAGGTAGTATTGTTCTTTGGTTAGATGTAACAGTAGTTAATATCGTTTGATTTGGTATAATAGTAGCTAACATCGTTCTTTAGTTTGGTGTAACAGTAGTTGATTTTTATTTATTTTTGGTTTGATGTAACAGAAGGGAGTTTCTTTGTTTGGTCTGGTGTAACAGTAGGTAACATTATAAGTTTGAGAGAACCAAAACATAAAATTCGGAAGATTCTCCACAAAGATGTGAGAGCTGTCAGTCTGACTCTCTTCACAAATCAAGATGTTGAGATTAACACAGCAGGCGCACACGTGCATGCCAGGAAGCCGTGATATAGTGTTGCCGTAATGGCGGCTAGCCGCCCAACCGGCAGGGGCAGAAGAGTGAAAACTTTATAGACGTCCTCAAACAACGCACGAGAAATCGGATCGTTTAGACGTCGAGTGGAGGTGATAACGCTCTGTTAGGTGGCACATCGGACTTTGTAGATAATCACAAAAGACAACACATCAAGACCAGTGAGTCAACAACATAATGTAATATGTTTTTAATTATAGAGCAGAATGTTGACCGTAGCTGGTCCTTCTAATTTTCAAAACTGATTCTAATAGCAGCCACAGAACACACACAAATAGCAGTAAACGCCCAAAGAACGTATTAGTATAACGAATACTCCTTAATTCCAGAATTTTTTTACGTCAGTCTATCTGCGTTTTGTTACTAGCAAGACATTTGTAATGTAAAATGAAAAAAAACTTACAAAAAAAGAGACGGATAATATAGTTTTCTTTTATACAAAAACAGAATGAAAATTAGGTGTTCTCTCAAGAAAACTGAAACAGCGATCAGCTGTGAAGGTACTAATTTATAACCAATATAAATGTTTTTAGTGCTTTTTCAAAGTTTTTCCAACCATTTACCATCAAATAGATATTTCTTAAAGAGTAAACAAGACATATTTATAAACATACATGAGAACTGATTTTCAAAATGCGACATGTATAATCGTTGTGATCTACCTATATGTTTGACCGTCCTCTTGGCTGTCTCTGATAAGATGTTTAATATAGATGGATATGTATATAATCATACACGTATTGCATCTATTTTTACAGACGTTATTTGTAAGGTATCGCACATATAATAATGGAAGGAAGTGTCAGGAGAGTCATATGTGTTTCATATATAATCATACACGTATTGCATCTACTTTTACAGACGTTATTTGTAAGGTATCGCACATATAATAATGGAAGGAAGTGTCAGGAGAGTCATATGTGTTTCATATATAATCATACACGTATTGCATCTATTTTTACAGACTTTATTTGTAAGGTATCGCACATATAATAATGGAAGGAAGTGTCAGGAGAGTCATATGTGTTTCATACAGAAAATTCCCCCTCTGTTTGCAAATATAAAATAAACGTTTGGAGAATGTTTTGATATATTCAAAACAAGCTATAGTATATTAAGTCTATAGCAGAGAAATCGGTATCACTAAAGGAGCTTCCAGTTTAATTCTGTGGAAACTTCTGTCAACAACTATTTTTCTAAACGTCGTTCTGTTAGCTGTGCGAGGACGGGTTTGCTAACTTTAGCTGGTGAAGCAAGCTAGATTGAATGTTTTGATCTGGCTGTAGCCACATAAATGTCTTGAAAATTAGTGCAAGAAAGTTTAAAACACGCTTAACCAATGGTTTATGGTTTCCTTTCATCAACAAAAATGTAAAGTTTGTTATATTTCTGCTAAAGAGTATTAACAGATACAGAACCAAAACAGGTGTTTAATACTGTGCACAAGCACAAGTGTTTAAATTGTTTCATTTTATTTTGATCAACTTCTATATAAAAATCTACACTTCACAATCTATTTTTCTAACTTTCAAACAAAGCATGTCATGTAATATTAAAAGTAGTGTTTTAATCCAGATTTTTATAATATCGTTTTTGTGCCTTAATTTGATAGGTTTAGCATGAAAGTCTTGTAACAGTGACTTACATGAAAGTCAATTTTCTATTTACGTTTATATTGTTACAACTTTAAATTTCCGTCATCAATGCTTCAACTACTGTAACGATATTTTTATATAAGTTTTCTTTCATTCTCTCTTTTATATGCAGATATTCTGCTTTGATGAATATGTAATTTGTCTATTTATATATTTCTATCTCGTTTCAAGGAAAGTGACGGGCAAAAAACCAACAATGGCATACATTATCGTCTTCAGCTGCTCTACGCCAGCGGTAAGTCCAGTTTTTCTATTTACAGGGTGAGTGATTCCCGTGTTTCAGCTCAGACTTAGTGGGTCGTATACGTAGTAAGTGAGCTAATCATGAAAGTGATCTTGTTTGATAGCAACGAGAATAACCAGTGTCGAAAAATGCTTTCAAGCGGTTTTCTCGAAACAGTTTAGTAAATAAACTATTGCTTCAGTGACCATCATTAAATTTCTAAATAATCGGTTCAAGAGAACCGAAAGGTGTTGCATAAGTCTATCATGTTTTGGAAAATTAAAAGTCTCTTTCTATACTAAAATTTGTTGATTTACAAGAATATCAAGTGGAACATGAAACTCACACCCACTGAATTCATGCTACAATATAACTTAAATAAATAGGCTCTAAATATCTGAATTCGAATAATGGAAATTCTAAATGTTAAATAGTTTGAAATTTTTTTTCTCATAATACAATCTGCAAACTTCAAAATGTCTTCGACGTCTTTCTAAAAATTATTATAACCAAAATCCCATCGATTTATTACTATTTATAGCTAAATCATATATTGACAGCTTTCATCAACGTATCATATTTTATGACACATTTTAGCTTATTATTGTTTTGATCAATCATGTAGAATATCTATATCATTCTTAAAATCTTGATTAACCACTGTTAAAAGCACGTGTTCAATGTAAAAGACAACAACAACTATATAATCAAAAAGAGACAACAGAGGTATTTGCCAAGCTTATTCCATCGAAACCCTATCGAGAGATATAACACGAGAGTGGATATAATTGACGTCTATGTTCATACAGAAACGAAAAGATAACCGTTTTGGACAGAAGATGAGCTAATGTTTTCATCAATAGTAAACGGACTATTGCTTTAATATATATATAGTGAGAGTGTGGTCTTACTATCACATAGTTATACTAGGAAGTATGTTTTATGTTGCTTTTCTTCTTTATAGATAGGCCTAAACTTTCACCGTAAATCTAACAAAACACATACGAAATAAAGTATCATCGCCTTTTGCGTAATGTTTTTATACTTTATGAATAAGTTCTGACTGCAAGATATAGCTGTATAGTTATCATTGCACGTGACCAATGTAAGCTATAAATATTTAATTATTAAAAATTAAAATAAACACTAATTAGTAAGAGCTATCAAATTCTGAAGTAAGCCTAAAGAATTACCCCTTTACTTACAGACTTACTTCTTGAAAGAATAAGCTATAAACTATTAATGTTTTCGAAGAAAAAGTACAATTTCAACGATAACTGTGCTTTAAAAAATCATATTTAATCACACGACTTAAAAGTTTTTCGATCTTCATGACACATAACTAATGAGACGCCGTGAATTTTGTATAAGAGGTTAAAGTACTATATCTATTAGAGACCTAAGCCTTAATCTAATAGCCTGATATCGCATACCACGCCCATAATATTACTGGTATAACCGAAAGAAACATTATCCTGTTAACACAACCATAGTTTTATATTACTCTCTTGCTGCAGCAGGACTTAGCCAAACTAGTATAAATATTACTTAAACTCACAGAATTTAAAATGCTTTCTATAACAAAGCCTGTTTTGAAATTAATAATTTCTAATACGTCAAAAATCACTATTTTCAGCATACACTTTATAAATCTTGTATAATTTATTTTTTGGCACATATTCCAAAGTTAACTTTACATTAAACAGCTTTAACAAACATGACGCATACTTGTATTGTTATATCTTCAAATTAGGCTTAGTAGGTTAATTCTACAAATCTTTACAATTGTTAGCTTTGTAGAAGCTTATAACTCAGTATAAATATATGACAACTTACTATCTAAGTTTCCAAATACTTGATAATAAGGCAAAATTACATTAAATCTGTAGTATCTAGCCTGTTTAAAACTGTAGTATCTAGCCTGTTTAAAACTGCAGTATCTAGCCTGTTTAAAACTGCAGTATCTAGCCTGTTTAAAACTGTAGTATCTAGCCTGTTTAAAACTGCAGTATCTAGCCTGTTTAAAACTGTAGTATCTAGCCTGTTTAAAACTGTAGTATCTAGCCTGTTTAAAACTGCAGTATCTAGCCTGTTTAAAACTGCAGTATCTAGCCTGTTTAAAACTGCAGTATCTAGCCTGTTTAAAACTGCAGTATCTAGCCTGTTTAAAACTGCAGTATCTAGCCTGTTTAAAACTGCAGTATCTAGCCTGTTTAAAACTGTAGTATCTAGCCTGTTTATTTGATTTTAAAAATGCTGAAGCTGCAATTTTTAAATTTTTGAGACACGGGTTTTCGTGGAGTGTAAAAAGCTGCCATTCCAAGTTTTGATGATCCTAATCGTTGTAAGTGGACTATGGTGGTGATCTCATTAAAACAAAACAAATAGCTTTAAAATGTTTAAAATCATGTAATAAAAAGAAATCCACTTTATTATTCACGCACTTAAAAAGTCAAGATGAGAAAAACGTGTGGAAAATATAACATATGCAATCAGATGATTTTCACATGGAATTATCTATTCATTCGTATCTATTTCTTTCTCGGTAATGAGAGTAGTTTACCTAACTTATTCATAGATCTTATTTGCTCTACTCTACCTTTGTCTACTCTTCGTCCATGCAGTTAAAGATCTGTCAACTGGTGATAAACCAGAGCAAAACTCCTTCTACAACTGATCGTAAGAGAATGTAATGTAACTATGACTCACAGCAATTCCACAATAATGTTTTTAGTATATATAGTGTGGGTTCATAAAGATACAGTATAAGTTTCTCGGCTATATTTATATTTGTTTACATAGTTAATATACTGTAAGAAAAGAGTTCTTCACTTGTCGTTTTTTGTCTATCTTATTTATTAATATGATCAGAATCAGAGAAAATATAATTATTTTACTTACCTTGGATATGAAAGCGCTGACAACATCTATGTATTCTTAACGTAATTTCTCATGTATTAAAACCAATGCGAAAAAAGTGTGCATAGTTGATAATGACTTCAACTATATTTTACTTCAAAAATTTCTATATTATGTTTGAGCCACACATTGGCGTTAAGAAAGCGCTGATTGGAGCATTTCAACCATATACGGTCTCTATACATTCTACTGATCAGAGTTGCTGAAATATAATTGATTGTAGATTCCTTTTGTTGGTGTATTTATGTGTATTTATACACTAAGAGTGTACGTGAATATACATGAACATATGATACGTACATGGGAACTTATCATGTGTACATTATACAGTATGTAAGTAGTTTGGTCTTCAGTTCTCAGTGATGTTCCTGTTCCCATTTTCGTTACCTATATGACAGTCTTTTGCATCTCAAGAAAAAAAAAATTATAAAAGCGGCAGCGTCCTATTTGTATGCTTAGAAATCAACATGTTTCTCTAAATATTCGAAGGCCAAATTTATTTCAAATCACTATGTAAAATGTTTAATTGTTCTCTCACACGTGCAGCATGGTACACCTTACGCATGTATTTAAGAGTTGGTTGCAGCATGGCATATTTGTATTTGTATGATTTTTGTAGCATGGCGTATTTAGCTAGCATTTTTAAGTTGTTTAAAGCATGACATATTTAAAGCATTTATTTTTTGCGTTGTTTGTAGCATTGGGCTGTTAATTCAGGGTTTTTTGTAGTGTGGTACTTTTTAAGTGATGTTATTGTTTATATGTGTATAACCACACATACTCGTTTCCGTGAGTTTCTGACTGTACAACTTGGTGTTACGATACAATGTAGTAACTGATAATTACTACTGACGTTTTGACTTGTGGAGTAAGCTCACTGGACAGCGAGAGAAAAACTCTTCATAGATGGCGCCCAGTCAACGCAATAGAAAGAAGAATAGCAGGGGATTAAGAGAAAATAGGGATTCCTTCGGTCGATTTAACCCTAAAAGACAACCTTCAACAATGTTACAGCACAGCTACGGAGATACGTCAGCATTCTAAATCTCCGAGCCTGACATCACTCATGGGCAGATCGGTCACAATCTTGCGGAATCTCTTCTTAGAAGCAAGCGTCTCTGTGCAGTCACATGACAGTACTAAGGCCTTTCGCACCAACCTTTTGCAACCTCTACTCCAGGCTGTTTATACGCGCCAGATTATTTGCTTGCATTTCAATTGAGCTTTTGTTACATATGTACTCGTAAGAGTTGTCATAACTTTCATTGCACTCACGTTCGACAAAATTGTCATGATTACACCCATATTTTAGAGTTTTTGTAACATGATTAAATTCACGTTGTAAGAATTATTGTTACTTTGAATACATCCACAATAGATATCGTTGTAACTCTCCGATTATACCATTCTAAAGACATATAATTTGAATTGCATTCTTTTCTATGGTTTGTAACCTGAAAACGGATAACTTCTGATTACATTGACATTCTAAAGCGTTATTGTAAGTTTGATCATATCATTATTTTTGAATTAAAAGGTTGTTCTTACTTTAATTAGTTCTACGCTTCAAGAGTTGTTACATCTTTAATTAGACCTCAATTAAAAAACAAGATTTTCCACGATACGATTTGTTTGTTTCTTGGATTTCGTGCAAAGCTATCTTCGTTAGCTGTCCCTAATTTAGAAGTGATAGACTAGAGGGAAGGCAACAAATCAACACCACCAACTGCTAATTTTTTGGCTGCACTTGTCAGATCGAAAAGATGGGTTTGGCCGTGACTCTTATAACGCACCAATAGTTTCAAAGTTTAGGGAATTTTTAGGAGGGCGGTAACAGGACACGAACCACAAAATCTCAGCTCCGCAGTGCGGCACATTAAGCACTGGACCGTTCTCGGTTCATCTATATGTGGAAGAACAAATTAATTTCTCACATATATATAAAAAAAAAAATCAAAACAAAATATTTGTTAGTTGGTTAACAATGTTTTCTTGACATCTGTAGTTAATACAGTTTAACTGAATCTGTCAACCACGAAAGCATAGTCTGCACCAACATGATTTACATGGTTAGTAAAACTACTTAAACAATGCTAGGAAATGATTTATCATGTATTGCATGTTATAGTAATTTAGTATGATTTACAAACATCAGTTGGCTAAATACCATTTGAACTGTTTAGAATGTAGACGCTGCTTGTAGAAGCATTCTCAATATGTCAGTCAAAAAGTGTAACTTCTATATAGATATACATATTGATCATGTAAAGAGTTATGCGCATATTTATAAACTGACCGTTACATATGTGTGCATGTGCACAGTTATTTCAATGAACGTGTATCTGCTCATATTTTTCTTTACCATGCGTGAAGTCAATGTATTTAGTTATATGTTACGATCTACATAATTATCTAAATTAATTATTGACTTTGAACCCTAAACCTCAGATACATATTTGATTCACAAAAATTGCATATTTTACCTTTTTATGCGACAAAAATATAAAGACATTTAGATGAATGTGTGAGAGATAATGAACTAACATTGATTTAAGAAAAACATGTTTTATGTGGTCCATAACCGAGTGAAACTTTTACACAGTTCTCCTTATCCCATGACAAGTTCGTTTTCTTTTATAGACGTTACAAAACCCACTAGTTTTGATATGTAGACTTAGCTCAATGATCTTATATTCACTTGTTGCCTGTAATTTTCATTACATTGTCATTGAATTAGCCAAAAACTGCTCAAAAAATGCTGAATCACGGGATAAATAAACGTATTCGAATTACGATATTGGAAAAAGTGAATAATATCAAACAGTATGTAAAGTGTTTACCAGGCGGCTGCTTGTTGCCGTATAAACTGATTATAAGTTCCTTAGCACATGCTCGAGGCTTCTAAACATAGAATACTGAAATTCAATACCACTTCTTATACTGTGATGTATGTGTGTGTATATATACATTCTAGTAGATTTCCCCTGTAAATTGATAGGTAGATTTGCAAACATAAAACAATGTGTACAGTTAAAAACAATAGGTTATACTGTGAGATACGTTTAAAAACAATAGGTTATACTGTGAGGTACATTTAAAAACAATAGGTTATACTGTGAGGTACATTTAAAAACAATAGGTTATATTGTGAGAATTCCACCGACAAACTACATTATATTTTACCATTTGAGTCTGTAATGCATTTATGCGAAACGATCTTTTCAGCATTGGAACAGCAGTACATCTCAACTTGTATGAAAAAAATTATTTACTCTTTCAGAAATCACTAGTGACCCTGCGCGTTTGTATTAATGTGTGTTTTTGTTACAAACGATACAAGCGAAAATGTGTAACGCGAGTGCCGAACAAGACATGAGCAACACTCGAGGGAGCTCTTTTGCAACCGTTTTATTTCCTCTCGGGAGGCAGCGATCTTCTGCGGAATTCTACTGGGATTGATCGGGGTTTAGACCTCTTTCCTAGCGGTGCCAGAGGGTCGCTCTTTCCAGTTCTAGCAACTGTTTCTACGGCCATACTCACGTCTGTCATCGTCGAGCAAGTGGACTGGAGAAAGAAAAGGCCTTCATGCTGTCATTTAGAACACGACATGTGTCGTGGTCCTTGCTAATTTTACACAGACTGGGATTCCTAAAAGCACAGGATTTACAACTTTTATTGAGTGCACGTGAACAGTCGAGCAATGCAGCAATCACAACTCTGTTTATGTAGCAAATTTTCACGAAGTAAAGGTAGTTTTTGTTATTCAAGTACAACTATATGATATCTCAGGTTATTTTAATTTCTGAGTAAAACAACTTCCAATACCAAATGGCTAACTTGCTTATGAAGCTGACGTATTGAGAAGTATTCAGTAGACAAACGTGATGTTGAGTCAACTAACTAATAACGTATAACATATTAAAATAAATACACCACCAGGGGCGGGCATTATAATGATAAATAACTTTTGTATTCTTATGTTTAAGAACTTATGAACAGGAAAAACAAATACGAAAAGTGAAAGAAAAGTTCGGTGCACCCACGTGTGTTTAAATTGTTGCTACATGTGTGTTTATCAAAGTATTTATGTATGTTAATGCACTGTAACCACATTTAAAAATGATAGCAAAATGTACGCTTCTAAAAATTTCAAAATCTGAGATTTGTTTAACTTACGCCTATAAGTAGTACCAAATACGAACTTGTAAAGATTGGGGATGCGTGGGTCACTGTGGAAATGCTAACAGGTTGGATGTATTGTTGGACCTTTTCCTGATATTATGACCCTTTATTGCTATTCGTAATGATTACTTCTGTTTTATACCATACGCTGATAACACACAAGTCCTTATACATATATCTAATGAGATAAACCACTAAATTCTTTATCATTTCCCGTAGCTGTTAAGGCATCTAACTCCGGCTCGTTTTAATTTGAAGAACGCACTGACTTTACTTCATACTAAAATGTTTAAGTTATTTGTAACGCAAGTTACACTAATGGTTTTATGGGTTTACATTTGGGTTTACCGGCGTTTCAAAGGGTACAAAGTTATTCTGAAGGACAGGCTGTAAGAGTAACGAAACTATTACTTTTACATCACATTGTTCATACACATAATAATGGCTGAGAATGTAGTAATGTTAGAGAAAACTTCAAACTCAAAAGAGTAGGTTAGTGTAATTGTTTGTAACATCACATTAACTAACACAATGTAGAAATTGCCAGTTTCTGTATGTAAAATGTTGCTGTAAAATTATTTCAACATTATAAAATAATCGCAAATAACTTTTCGAGTTTTAATAATTCTTTATAGAATTGACCTGTATTAGGGATAGCAGTGTTCATGTTAACCTACTTTCCATATGGAACGTTTGTTTAAAACAAGTATTATTTTCATTCTATCTTGGTAGGTGTGAGGCAAGAACAAGATATGTACGTTCGGCTGATCGACTCAGTGACAAAACAGGTAAGGAACTGCTTTTCTCCTAATTCATCCATCCATCTAACTAATACGTACAGATGTTTATTTATATGCAATATGTAAATGTTTCTTTTTCATATTTACTTTCAGCAGCCGATTAACCTAACTCGATGTGAACAATAATTCCAGCCAAAAGTTGATATTTCATTTTGTAAACTCAGAGAAAATAGAACAACTGAAGTGTTTATATTACACTATAACATAGAATAAAATAGAACAATTGAAGTGTTTATATTACACTATAACATAGAATAAAATAGAACAATTGAAGTGTTTATATTACACTATAACATAGAATAAAATAGAACAATTGAAGTGTTTATATTACACTATAACATAGAATAAAATAGAACAATTGAAGTGTTTATATTACACTATAACATAGAATAAAATAGAACAATTGAAGT